GATTCCTGGGCACCACCATCTCTCAGGACCTGAAGTGGGACACTCACATTGACTCCACTGTTAAAAAGGCCCAGCAGAGGTTGTACTTCCTTCGCTAACTGAGGAAGTTTAACCTGCCAAAGGAGCTGCTGAAGCAGTTCTACTCAACTGTCATTGAGTCTGTTCTGTGCACTTCAATAACTGTCTGGTTTGGTTCAGCTACAAAATCAGACATCAGAAGACTGGCGTTACAGAGCACCGAATACCAGGACAGCCAGGCACAAGAACAGTTTCTTTACCCAGGCAATCTACCTCATGAACAGTTAATGTTCTCCCATTGTGCAATTAAAGTATGTGCCATAACCTTATACTTATTTATCACCCTAAATCCTAGTACATCCCTACAACTTTATTTTATTTTATTCCTATTCTATCTATAGCACACCTGTACATACAAATTATTCTTTTTTGTGGATCATATTTATGCATGTGTATTTTATTTACATTTTATTTTTATTATCTGTGTGTTGTTATTGTCTCTGTGTACTGGAAGCTTGTGACACTATAACAAATTCCTTGTATGTGCAAACATACTTGGCAATAAAGCTCTTTCCGATTCCGATTCTGATATTAAAATAAGGAATATTGCTGCAAAAGGTCAGACTATTAATTCAGAAGGATTTGCAGAAAACATTATTGATTTATACTGTGCATATAAATGCAATAAAAGTTAAAGTAAATGGGAGGATACTTGCCATAGCTTGTATAAATCTTGTAACGATGCATGCACCTGCTTCTCCATGAACAGTAGCCCAGTTAAACTGATCCAGACCCAAGCAAATATCTAATGCGGTACATTCTTGTCCCTCAAAGGTGGGATACTCGGCATCTGAGTGCAGAATGAGTCTTCTTTGACAGTTTTCCTGTCTGCCATGCCATTCATCATAACTATGCTTTGCATAGTTATGTAAATTATTTGTCCTGATAACTTCCAACCATGTTATCCATCACTTCGTTTAAAAAAAACAAAAAACTCCTAGGCATTTTGTCCTGTATGTGGCTGATTGACTCAGTTTTGAGTAGCACTGTCTTCAGGTAATGAAGTGATTGCTTGGCCAGATGGTCTGAAAAGCTGCCCTGACCCTTCCGAGAGGTAGCAGAGCACAATCTGCTGAAGCTTATCCTATGGAAGAATCCCGACTCTTAATGGAAATGTTTAGAGGCAAAAATAAGTGGATTTGAACTCTGCACTGAGGCAGTGACAAAGGGGCTTGGGATCTAATACACACACACACACACACACACACACACAGAGAGAGACAGACAGAGGCAGTAATAGGTTGAAATATAAGGGATTATCTACTCAGCAAAAGCGCACGTGATCCATTAAGGCCTCATGGTCACAGCTAACAGGATAAAGTCTGTGACAGGCAAGTATATGTGTGGAGGTAATTGCTAGGTTAAAATCTAATTGTTCTGAAAATCTATTTTTGGAAAGCTGTTTGTTTATTCCATGTTTCAAAAAGTTGATAAGTCTTAAATATATATATTTTTTCACAATATCTACAGGCCATCTTACACCTTTGTTAGACTAATATAATATATATATATATATATATATATATATATAAGAAATGTGTATCGATTAGATATTATAGGCTAGATATTATAAGGAGAAAATGTGATTGTTTGTGATTGGCTGACATCTGCAGCAGACACAGTGCAGGGTTTTAGTTAGCAGGCCAGGCCGCTGATTCAGGGAATGTGGGAAGTAAGCTGGATAAAGTGCTTCTCACTGATCTGGTTACCAACAATATGTGCCAGGTCAGAAAGTGACTGAACCATCTGTTTCTTTTAACATAAATAATCATGCTTTTCACTTGAGTGGATGACTTGAGCTAAATAATGTTGAGTTGCCTTTACCTGCTGGCTTAATTTTTACAGTATTTATATAATGCAGTAGCCTAAAAGGCCATTTACACAGAATGCGTTTTTGCATTCCACCGTACTGCTTTTACATTGTTTTTATATGTAAATATGTGCTAAATGGTCAAATTTGATTGTTGCGTCTGTTGAAGTATCTCGTGTTTTATGGCATGCCCCATCATAAAATGCCCCATCATTTTGTAGCTTTTATGAAACGGTTTTAGTTTGCAATGTTGTGGTAATACTAATAATGCAATTTTCAAAACCAAAAGGCAAAAGTGATCTACAATTATTCCTTTATTTCGCTATGTAAGCTGAATGGAGAAAGTAAATGCTTCTGTGCATAAAACAGAGCCACTTTTCCCATTGAGCAGTGGCCTTTTCATTCATGTAAACATGTATTCTGCATAATTACAAACATGCTTCTTACTCATGCCTTAACGCATTTCACACTCAGACAAATCAATGTCACAGAATGAAACAAAAGTGACTCCAGTTAAAAGACTCGCTATTGTGTAGTGTGTGTAGCTAATGAAACATTTAGGAGTACAACATTACGGATGATGTAACTAACATTGTTCGGGTAAATGTTACATAGTCAAACATAACGAACAAGGCAGCTCATTATCAAAAGCCCTTGAAAATAAACAAATATAATAAAGATCACAAAACGTGTACTTTCAGATAAATATTTTAAAATATAAATAATGGCTACATTGCACATATACACTCACATTGTGTTGTAAACACCACAGTTCCATAAAAAAATACAATATCTGATTTGCATTACAGTGATTGTTACCTACATAGAAGTATTAATATACAATGGCCAAACAAATAATTGTTGAACTAATGCATGTTGGCACATCTACACAGCTCTGCTAATGTAACAGTTTTATCTTAGTTATATTTATTCTAGTGTTGGTGTAAACAAAGCCCCTTTGTTCTTGTGTTATCCTTGGACCAGATATCATTACTGTGACAGATTTACAGATAGTTCCTTTCATGCCTACAACACTTCAGAAAAAAAAACAAAATCAACCATATATATATATATATTTTTTTTTTAAAGCTACTGTCTCAACATCAATAATGGTTAGATTTTTAGTTTTGCACTTAGCAAAACCCCTAAATGTTGTGTAATGACTGGTAAACAGCACTCTTATACACTTTAATATAATCTTGGCACTAGTGAGCACAGCCTATACTAGAGTACTGTTCAAAAGTTTGGGGTTGGTACGAGTTTTTAATGTTTCTGAAAGTTTCTTATGCTCACCAAGGCTACATTTATTTGACCAAAAATACTGTAAAACAGTAAATTATGAAATATTATTACAATTTAAAATACCTGTTTTTATTATATTATATTATTCCAATATACTAATTTGGTTCTCAACAAACATTTCTTATTAACATCAATGTTGAAAAATTTTGTAACAATGTTATTGTCTTTACTTTTGCACTTTTGATCAATTTAACACAACCTGAAAAAATGTATTTTCTTTAAAAAAAAATAATAATAATCTTACTTACTCCAAACTTTTAAATAGTAGTGTACTGTATGTTTGGTAAGTCTATTATTACAAAAACTATACATATAGTACCCATAAGTGCATAACTTAAGTTAAATTAACAAAATGCATGTGCATGATAAATACCATATTTCTTGAACTGGTTGATTTACATACTATCTATTGAAATTTAATTATCTTCAAAAGACGAGCGACATTCTAGAGAGCAGATGTTAAATGTGAATAGACTTACATAATTTTATTTTATTTTATTTATTTATTTATATTTTTTTTTACAAAAATGTACAGCACATTTTTGTAAATAAATAAATACATTTGAAATAAATTATATTGCACTAGTGCAAAGGTATTGGACAAGTTTCATTTTCTGCTCATGCTTTACCTCCTCTTTGGAGTGAGCTAAGGTGAAAAAATGGGAATCATGTAGGTCATAGTGTCCCTGTGAGGTGCACCGGGATTAAACAACACTATTAGAATGCCAAGTCTGACTCGTAAATCAGTTGGTAAATAAGTGGTCTTTCACCTGTACATCTATGGAAGCAAAGCAGCACAACAGTCACAGGACAGACTGGGAAAAGAAGGGTCATCCTCATGCTCCAAGACAATGTGACATGCACATGATTTGGGCTGAAATCTTACATCATTATTGTTGTTTCCCTACTACAACTTTTGACATCAACATGTATATTACATTATAAACAGGACAGCTGTACGTCATAGTATAAACAGTGTCATAGCTGTATGTCAAACTCAGCTGTTAGTAAGTCTTTGTTGGAGTCCAGAGGCTTCTCCATGTGTCTTAAGCGTATTCTTCACTGAGAAGGGAACTCTGCAAATGCGAGGTAACTCTCCAACTCCAACTAATGGCAATGTGAAGCTGATCAACTTAAAACAAGGGAACATAGTTACGTTTCGGCCTTAAAGAGTCATTTGTTGGTTTTTGATGAAATCTTGAGGTGAAAACACTTTTGTGGTACTACAATGGTATTTGTACGTCAGACATTCTGATAGCATATTTAAACTGCCCTGACAATTGTTTTTAATGCACATTTAATAATCACAAAAATAAATAAATATATAATTAATACAAATTCAACAAACAAAACACCACAGCAAGCAATCGAAACAAACAAAAAGAATGTTCATTTAAAAAACGAAGAAGAATATTTAGATGGCACAATGAAGATGAAAACAATCTGTTCAGACACGATGTGGCGGATGTGTTTGTAATGGAAACCATGTGAGATGCACTTGTGTGTGGGCACACGCTCCTACTTGATATTCTTGAGCAGCGATGTGCGAGCATTAACCACTGCTTTAAAGGCATCCTCACTGCCTGGGGCCACACACTTGTCCGGGTGCAACAGTACAGCCAACTTCCTGTATGCCTTGTTGACTTCCTCCCTACAAGCACAAAATGAGAAAAACCTATTAGTCTCAGTTTGCACACATCAAACAGGCCTTTAAAATGCTGATATGGCAAACCACTGTGGTCCCACTAAAGAGGGACCACAGTGAAGAATCAGCTAAGGAAGAAGGATTGTGGCTGGGAATGAGAAATGACACAAGCTCATGATTGGCTTCTCAGGGTGTTGGGGACATCTCAAAGAGGTTAATTAAGCTGGCAGGAGAGAATTTTGGGATGGTAATTGGATTGAAGGCATTCTCTAATGATCTGACCCACATGATTAAACCAGCCAAGTTAACACAACCGGCAGTGTTGCATCAATAATACTGAGACAATATAATTCAATGGGAAATAACAGTACCAAACTGTATCAACTATTTGTTGCTTGCTTTTAAGCATCTGACATTCTATTAAATATTTCAGAGAACAGTAAATACTAACTTTGGTTTCCTTAATGGTTATTAAAGCAACATCAAATACATTATGTCCTCTGTCACTGGTGGGCATTGGGTAATTGGATTGAAGGCATTCTCTAATGATCTGACCCACATGATTAAACCAGCCAAGTTAACACAACCGGCAGTGTTGCATCAATAATACTGAGACAATATAATTCAATGGGAAATAACAGTACCAAACTGTATCAACTATTTGTTGCTTGCTTTTAAGCATCTGACATTCTATTAAATATTTCAGAGAACAGGAGAGTAAATACTAACTTTGGTTTCCTTAATGGTTATTAAAGCAACATCAAATACATTATGTCCTCTGTCACTGGTGGGCATTGTGTATGTATGTGTTAAAGATGGGAACACACTAACCTATTAACATCAGTTGACTCTTATAACTTAAGAGAGGTTAAGTGGGATTTAATAAAACAGAGCCAAATCAACATCCTAATCCAAATGCAACACAAGGCCTACACTGGTGATATCTGCTATTTTTAAATGATCGCCCAAAAACTTATAGTGGGCAGATTAGTGCTGCAATCCTGATTTTTGATGGCATGATGTCTGGAGTACATAGTTTACAAACAACACAGCTGTTTATGGCTGGTTAAAACATTAGAGAACAAAGCCATGGGGCCTACTTTATATAATGAAGTAAATTTAATATTTACATTTATTTTATTATTATGAAATTATGTGATATATTACATGTATGGCATTTTATCAACCATCAGCCTCCATGCATGCTCTTTTAGATATTCAAACTATTTTTTTTCAGTCCATCACCAGATCACCATCAAATACATTTATATTATACAAAAAATCTGAAATTATACAATAGATCAGTTGTATAACATCGTCAAATCACTGCTGTCAGGCATTTAAAAAATGTGATACTCTGCATCAGACAAATTCACATATACATACACTACTGTTTAAAAGTCTGGGGTCAGTTAGATTTGTTTTTTAAATAAATTAATACTTTTATTTAGCAAGGATGCATTAAACTGATCAAAATTGACAGTAGAGACATTTATAATGCTACAAAAGGTTTCTATCTCTATTTACAATAATTGCTGTTCTTCTGAACTTTCTATTCATCATCCTGAAAAAAAAAAAAGATCAGTTTCTACAAAAATATTAAGCAGCACAACTGTTTTCAACATCGATAATAATAAGAAATGTTTCCTAAGCCCCAAATCAGCATATTATAATGATTTCTGAAGGATAATGCGAACACTGAAGCCTGGCGTAATGACTGCTTTGCCAACACAGGAATAAATTACATTTTAAAAGATATTATACAAGAAAACAGTTATTTTAAATTGTAATAATATTTCAAAATATTACCGTTTTGACTGTTTTTGATTAAACAAATGCAGTTTTAGTGAGCATAAGAGGCTTCTTTCAAAAACATTTTAAAAATCTTTCCGACCCCAAACTTTTGAATAGTAGTGTATACTGCATGGATTCAAGATGTTTAAATGCCATGCTGTGGAGTGTAGGAAAGCTATCATTCAGTTCATTAACCTGATACTGTGCAACAGAGCCAATTATACAGAGCAATAGTCAATATCTAAATAGATATTAATCCAGAGTATGATATAAAAAAGTTCAGCAGCACTAGCAGACACATTTAGCATGCAATTTACCTTGTGGCCCCAGGTTTAACCCCCAGCATATCCCAGCTGTCTTTGCTGTTGCGGATGCGTCGGATGGTGTCGGCCTGCTCTTTAGTAAAACCTACATTGACCTCTGAAGTGGGTCTCTTCCCTCCATTTTCACACATGTCAGTAATGGATGAGAAAAAGGCCTGTGGAGGTGGACAGACATTAAATAAACAACAGTCAACAGAATGACAGGGCTGTAAACTGTGAGAGAGCACATACCTGAAACATTTCATTGATGCCTTCACCACTCTGTGCAGAAGTTTCAAAGTAATGAAATCCTCTGCTCTCGGCCCAAAGTTTCCCCTCACTCTCATCCACAACTCGTCTTTTCGTCAGGTCAACCTTTATTGGTGAGAGACCACATTTTATAACAGTCTCTCTCATGTAAATCACAGATTACACATTTAAACGCCAGAGGGACCTTGTTGGCACACACGACGAAGATGATGTTCTCCATGTTGGCCTGTGAGCCCATTTCCTGCTTCATCTCTGTGAACCAGCTGTCCAGAGCATCAAAACTCTCCCTCAGACCAACATCATAGACCAGAATCACCCCTTGAGAGTCCTTATAAAACTCATTGCGGACCTGTAAAACAAACAGCATCAATTCCCTCCAACATCAGACTCTCACAGCCATCACAAGCCAATAACCGGTGATCAATTTCCATACATGGCAACAAGAAAAATGCTTAAACGCTGATGCCATCAGGTTCTTCAGGGAGGACATTACATGGACAGCAGCTCCATACTACCACACTGTGGTAAATTAGATGTACTCATAGAGCAATAACAACAAAAAAAAAAATTCTTAATTACATTGTGTAATAAAAATAGACATTTGTTTACACATTTTTTAATAATAATTTGAAACACACTTAATCATGTGCATACACATACAAATATAAAATAAATCAAAGCTATACGATTAAAAACAACAGATTCAACAGAAACTTGTAAAAAAAATATATATATATATATAAACGCGCGGTTTTAAAACAGCGTTTTACATTATATATTTCATAAAGACGTTAATGGCAATTATGATAAATAAGAATAATCTGTGTAATCAAAAAATTGGGACAAGTTTTAGCAAACAGAAGAGGGTTTCTATGGCGACAGCAACCCTCATACACAGATTCGACAGAGGGGAGTCGATTGGCGATGTCCGTCCGATTCGTGAACGAATCATTAATTTGAAGAGGATGAATCGGTTGAATCGGCTCACAAGCGGTTCTCGACTCACTCACCTACTGAATCAAAAACACTTTCTAGCATGTGCGACTCATATTGTGTCGAGAAACGACGAGCAAGCTGATTACGAGAATTTTCAGTGAACCTAAAATTTGACATATGGAGCGAAAAGTTACCTAGGTTACTTTTAAAGCTCATTTGTGTGCTTACGACTTGATATGGTCGTTTGATCATCATGCATACGAAAAAACTGCGTTTTATTAAATCGCCAAGCCAAGCTTTTAGAGTTTAATATAAGTGCAATCTGGTACACATTAAACACACTTAATAAAACAAGCATTAACACGAATATTTGGTTACAAATTGATATATATATATATAAACGCGCGGTTTTAAAACAGCGTTTTACATTATATATTTCATAAAGACGTTAATGGCAATTATGATAAATAAGAATAATCTGTGTAATCAAAAAATTGGGACAAGTTTTAGCAAACAGAAGAGGGTTTCTATGGCGACAGCAACCCTCATACACAGATTCGACAGAGGGGAGTCGATTGGCGATGTCCGATTCGTGAACGAATCATTAATTTGAAGAGGATGAATCGGTTGAATCGGCTCACAAGCGGTTCTCGACTCACTCACCTACTGAATCAAAAACACTTTCTAGCATGTGCGACTCATATTGTGTCGAGAAACGACGAGCAAGCTGATTACGAGAATTTTCAGTGAACCGAAAATTTGACATATGGAGCGAAAAGTAACCTAGGTTACTTTTAAAGCTCATTTGTGTGCTTACGACTTGATATGGTCGTTTGATCATCATGCATACGAAAAAACTGCGTTTTATTAAATCGCCAAGCCAAGCTTTTAGAGTTTAATATAAGTGCAATCTGGTACACATTAAACACACTTAATAAAACAAGCATTAACACGAATATTTGGTTACAAATTGCTTTATTGTAATGTTTTAGACTAGTGAATATGCGTAGAGTAATTAATTACATGGAGAATGTAATGTCAAGAACCATATGATTCAGGATTTTTTTTTTAGGTTCTTAAACGAATTGTTCAGAAGAACCGATTCGCGGAAATCACTAGAGTCAATTAGAAGAAAATACAAACTACAGTTTTAAAATATTCTATAAAATTGACAATTCATTTAATGTCCTAAAATAAGATCTAAAAGGCAACGAGAGGGATATAAAAAAAATAGCTGGAACTCTATAAAAAGTTCCAGAGCCAAGTGAGTGACAATGGGATGGAGAGAGAGTGCAACAAACCTCAGACAGGAAGGGAGGGAGGCGGTTGTAGGCTCTCATTAACATAGCCTACAGTGGATGTAACTCTAAAACTAATAGTCAGGCACTTCCATGCTTTCCAAAAAGGATTCAGATATAGAATAGATTTGATTATAAGAGTATATATTATTCTCATTAGTTATTCTGGTGGGAATAGTCAAGAAGACGCCACTTCCAAGTTTTCCCAATTTTTCAGGTCTCCCAGATTTTCCAAGTCCAAGACGACTACTCATGGATTGCAGTACACTGTTGGACCATCAAGTCGGAGGTGGTAAACTCATTTTTAGGCTATATAGTTCTGTTTTGTTGTTAGTTTTTTCCCCTATGGTATTGTTTTCATTTATAGCACTTTAATTTTGATGTTTTGAAATAGCCTGATTAGTCAGTAATTTGATCCATGAATTTTTGATATAGGAATGCTCATACAACATTTAGCAACTGCAAAAAAAATAGTAAATGGTCTTTGGTAATATGCTGCTATTATTCAACCATCTTTATGTTTTCATGAATAATTCACAGTTGCGTGTCTAAAGCCTAAAAAACGGTCAGATTAACACTGAGCCATTTCACATGCCATGGATCAGACGCTAGAGCTTCTCTCATCAGGCCACACAAGAAAATGCACAGTATCCTGATGTAGATTTAGGGTTCTTTTAAATAAGGATTTATTATTATTATTATTACTTTGTTAAAAATAGTACATAATAGTAAAACTAAAACAACATGCATTATAATTTAATAATTTAAAATGGAATTTTCTTCTGTACAAACTATTCCTTTTTCTCTTTAAATCAGATAACATATTAAAACCTCTAGACAACAAATCAATCTTTTATTAGACTCTCTTTATAGCAGTAAAAAATAAAATAATGCATGTTTTATTCATTATAAAAACAAAAAAGGCAACAGAAAATAACAGGCAACAATCAAATACTGTTAGAGAGAGTTGGGCAACGGGAGGCGGGGTTAATTGACTGACGCATGGATGCACCAATTGATTCCTTCCCTCTCTCATCCTCTCGTCTTCACTCTTTCCATCTCTCTAACACCCTCCTCATCTCCCTCCCCCTCTGCCTTTCTCATTGTTGAATGGTCAGGAGGTGTGTGAATGTATTCATCTTTGGGGAGGGGCTGTATGCGTGCATGAGTGTGTGTGTGTGTGTGTGTGTGTGTGTGTGAGCGTGTATATATATTCGTATGCGCGCGCGTGTGTGTGTGTGTGCACCTGTGTGTTAAACCAGCATTGTTCCTGATAGAGGGAAAGCTGTGCCACTGCCACGCTGTTTGGAAAATCCAAGGTCATTGGAGCCCGGTCACATGCGCCGTATGAGAGCGTGCATGTGTGAGTGAGTGTCTGAGAGCGTGTGTGTCTCTCTCTCTGGCTATGTGACAGAGAAAGAGGCTTCAGGCAAAGAACAGAGAATTTCATCAGGTTTTCAATGTACGGTAAGGGCGATTGTGCGAGTGCATGATTATGTGTATAGGATAATTCCCTGCCTGTGTTTAGGAAGGAAAGATTCGTGTGCATCACAGGAGATTATGGCAATGACAGCAGAATGATGCTGAAGCAACAGATTGCATGCAGCATTGCAGCTCTGCTCTGTTTATTGTGCATATTTCATTTCATCTTTCATTTCAGGCATCACCGATTTAGCTTCATCCACACTACTTTGCACCGAATACTCAAACACACACTACTAAAACACACAGATCTACTGCAACATTCAGTTATTAACTCTAACTGTACATTTGCATGTACACATATGATATTTTCTTCTGTATTCATATTGTTTCATCTGACCAGCATGTTGAAGATGTTTCAAACGAACTACAGGCAGTCAGGCTGCAACTTTGATTTCTCACAGCATGGATGCCTATATATATATATATATTTATATTTATTTATTAAAATGTATATTATCAGAATGACACTGAGTGAATTTCTGTGATTTGTGCTTCAATGGAAGCAAGAAATTCTAACTTTTGTATAAAGGAGTTCACATGGTCAGTGTTACAAATATACTGATATGGATTTGTGGCCTAGAATCCGATATTCTACCAATCACAATTTTAGGGTCAGTAAGATTTATTTATTTATTTTTTGTAAGAAATGAATACTTTCATTCAACAAGGATGTATTAAATTGCTCAAAAGTGTACAATGTTTGTAATGTTACAAAATATTTTTATTTCAAATAAAAGCTGTTATTTTGAACTTTCTATGCATTAAAGAATCCTGAAAAATATGTATCACGGTTTCCACAACAATATTAAGTTGCCCAACTGTTTTTAACATTGATAGTAATGAGAAATGTTTCCTAAGCAGCAAAACAGCATATTCGAATTATTTCTGATGATGTTGAAAATACAGCTTTGCCATCACAGGAATAAACTTAAAATATGGCATTCTAATCTTTAAAATACAGTATATTAAATATATTTAAAATTATAATAATATTTCACAGTGTTATCTTGTTTAACTGTATTTGTGATCAAATAAATGCAGCTTCAGTTAACGTAAGAGATTTCTTTTAAAAACATAAAAAAATATTACTGACCCCTAAACTTTAGATCAGTTGTATATCTTAATTTTATGCATTAATGTTTAAAAAAAAAAAATTTCTGTTGATCCAAATTTAAATTAGATTTATCATATATTTTCAGACACTTGGACCTCACTGCTTGTTATTTAGATTTACATTTTGGCTTCAACTGCAAACTATTTTGACGGATGATATGTGATGTTTTAATAGCAATACTGAAACACTTTAACTATACCCTAAAACTTCAAAAAGGCACAACATTATTCTCAAACAGAGTCCTGAGTATGCAAATGATAGTTTTAGATGAACTAGATGCTCATGGAAGTAGAGCTGACAGTGACAAGGTTAAAGAAGTAAATGAATAGATTTCATTGTTAGCATGAAGTTCCCTCTCTGTATTTCTGCTTTTTCCCTGTGACACTAACATATGAGAGTGAGTGTCTTTGATATTGTGTCCCGTTTTGGTCAATCTGAAGGGATATGGCATCTTTGATGGCCGATGTGCTAAATATAGCTGTCATAAGCCCTCATAATTCAGGGGAAATGTATTTAGAGTGACTGCGTCATGATGAGAGAGACAGTGCCAGAAGTCTGCATTCGGAAAGATTGATTTTCCATACTGTAGCCGCCACAACATGGAGTTTGATTCATTCACATGCATAGTGAGTTGTGTGTTATGTAAAGCCCTATTAAAGCTGGATGTCTTCTAGTATCCCTATACCAGCTTGGAGGATATCATATCAACCATAGTAGTACATCCCAGCACCACTAGTTCTTTATTATGACATGATCTTCTTTGTCACAGTGCCAGCTATAGCCTTTGTTTTGCAGCGTATGCAGATTGCAGATGTGCGTGTAGAGTTGTTCTTGGCAACAAAGTATGCACTTACTTCCCTAGTGTTGATGCTACACTCCTGATTTAAATTATTTAGTTGTTTTTGCTTTCTGAGTGTAACATTTTACATTTATTTATTACCGTTGTCATTAGATGTACAGCATTCTGATATAGCAAGTTAAAATAATAAAGCTAAAAGCAGATATTTTGGCCCCTGGGCACAGTCAGTGTCAGTAGATTGTGCCAGGTGAATGATAGAGGTGAGTACACAGCCATAAGAGAATTATGAGGGTTGTAAACCAGAGGGAACTGTGAAGGTTATATTTACCACCCTGTCCGAGAAACAGAATGCCAAAGCGCTTGTGTTTAATAAATGTAGCTAATACAGTAGTAAAGCAGTTCCTGTAGCTCTTGCATGGAGCTTGGATTTATGAACTTAATATTTACTTCATGCTGTACTTATGATTATGTTGAAGGGATGCTCATCAAGATATTCAGATTTTGGAGCATACATGCTTGAGAGAGATTATTTAGATTTCTTGCAAATCACTTGGTTGTCTGTTGACAATTCTTTGTCTCCTCCTTGTCTTAACATTGCCTAATGATTCATTGACAGTATATTCATGCATTTAGCAGATGCTCTAAAATATTTTAGGAGAATTCGCAAAAACGCTATACATTTTATCAGAATTAACTCCCTGGAAACTGAGCTAGACTAAGCTAAATGGTTCATAAATTACAACGATTGTTTAATAATGATAAGGATAATTAAATAATTATATAAAAAATTAAATATAAATTTCTTGTTTTAATGCACTGATATTTTACCAATTTTTATTCAATTTCTATGATTATTAAATAAAATATAATTAATAAATAAAAACAAAACCATTTTTATTAGTAGTATTTTTTATTATTACAAATACATTCATAAAATATAATGTTTTTTAAATGCTGCTGGGTTTTTTTTCATGTATTTTATATATGTCTGTTTATTTGCAAGAGATGGCTATCAGTCAAAACCTATTAAATCTATTGTTTTGAAACTATTTTCCAAACCGACAACTCAACAGTAAAACCACATGTCAATTAAAATGCACAGCAGTACGTGGTTGTTTGTTTGTTTGTGTCATTTTTTAAGTGATTACACATTGCAGTCATTAATGACCCTCTTTTTTCAAAACTGCAGAATCACTCTGGGAGTGAGAAACAGGGAGAGCGTGAGAGGATTCGCTGCAGTCTTGAGTGTGTGGGTGGAAATTTTCAGTGTCGACTGTCAGGGTTTTTTTCTTTCGCTTCTGCTTCAGTTGCTTTAGGCGTAGAGGTGTCACGCTGATGTGTCAAAACACTAGCAGGTAGGCCGATGTGTGACTCACACTCTAGCTCCTCTACCATCCATCCAATCACAGTGTAATTGCCAATCACAATCTTGGTAAATGGCAGCTTGACGGTAGCTAATCGGACAGCAGGCTTGAGTCAATAAACCTACACTGACCTTGTGTTGCATTTCAAATACAAAGTTGAGTGAGTTTTGTAGACTGATGCTCTTACTGATAAGTAGTTTAATATCTGTCTGCTCTATCATATCCTTCTATACCCACTATTTTGCTCGTATTGGTCATATTGTGTGTGATCTGATCCTTAGTGTGTGTGTGTGTGTGTGTGTGTGTGTGTGAGCGTGTATATATATTCGTATGCGCGCGCGTGTGTGTGTGTGTGCACCTGTGTGTTAAACCAGCATTGTTCCTGATAGAGGGAAAGCTGTGCCACTGCCACGCTGTTTGGAAAATCCAAGGTCATTGGAGCCCGGTCACATGCGCCGTATGAGAGCGTGCATGTGTGAGTGAGTGTCTGAGAGCGTGTGTGTCTCTCTCTCTGGCTATGTGACAGAGAA